GGATACTTTAATTAATAATTGGTGATATTTCCACAAGGATCCTTCAAGAAATTAATTTTATAGCGAATTTCGAAAATTATCGATGAAAATTGCAACATCGAAAATTTTGTCAAAACTTCAAATATTGTTTTCTCAAAAACTAAAAGTTATTTTTCAAAACGGGTTGGTTCATTGGAAAGAGGACACTTTTGTTAACACTTTGGGAAATTTTCATGCTTATATTCCAAAAACTGGATTTTATACGAATTTTTAAAACTTAATTTGGTAATAGTTTTTCTGGAAAATTATTTTAGCCATATATACAATCTTGAAACTCCATAAATCCTGGTACTCCATAAATCATTACGTCTTATCAATAAACATTATTATTCGATAAGATAACTAATAATCAAGTTTTGAATCATTATCATTTTAGTAAAGTTTTAATTTAATTTTAGTAAATCATTAGTTTTTAATCCTACACCATATCATTTTCTCCATTTAAATCAACAAATTAAATCAACAACGCAAAAAAAAACAGTGAAATGGAAGAAAGTGAAATACGTATTCCCAGCGAATTAATAGCTGATGAATACCTTCGTAAAGATAACGAAACTGGAGCTTTATATTTTTTTAGTGATAATAATTACAAATACTTTGATGATGACTCAAAGCGGGCATTTCGAATTTGTGGTTTCAACATAAAAAAAGAAAACCAATTTCTTATAGATACCAAAGAAAACGTCTTAAATATTTTAGATAAAAGTATGTTATTTTATTAATAAGAAATCATCATAATAACTGTTGATCTTTTACAGTTACAAACGAAAACCATAAAGAGACTTCGTGTTTCATTTTACTATTTTTTGGTACAATTGGTAGTAATAACGATGAATATATTACCGAATCTGGCGATAAAATTAGAGGGTATGAAATATGGGGGAAGATAATGAAATGTGAAACTTTAAAATACCGACCAAAAATTATTATTTTTCAGGTAAGCATTTCTTTTTAATAATTTTTTCGAATTTACTTTTATTAAAGTACTTTAGGGATTTAGAGTAATCAACACAACGCAAACGGATTCAAGTAATTCACGAAAATCATTGCCCATACCCACACCACCGGACTATGATATTCCTTATTATTCCGATATGTTAATAACATACAAAGTTACAGAAGGTAAAGATTATTAATCGAAACAGTGGGAAAATAAAAGAAATTTTTGTGGACCTACTCCAAATTCAACTTATTTTCAAAATTTATGGAGAAACATAGTGGAAAACGGTAGTCGAGACGACTTAATGAACATTATTGCATATACGAAACGTTGTAGATATGATGATTTCCCTCCGATAACAACCTCGACGTTGCGAAAAAAATTTTTTATTAAACCGAGTCAATTCCGCATACATTGGTACGATATCCATAAGAAGATTGAGAATATGAAGAAGAATATTACGATGTTAGAAAACAAATTGAAACTGCAAGGTAGTGTTAGTTGTTTGGATGGCAATCCTCATGTTGCTGTGAATAACATTAACAATGAAGATCCAAATAGAAAAAAGTCAAAGAATTACGATAAGAAAATAATGGTAATCGGTTTATTGTTATTTGGAGTAATGTTGTTAATCAGCAAAACCAAAAATTGATGCGAAATGAAGAAAAGAAATAACATAATTGTACAATACTTTTTAATTTAAAGTAAATAATTTTCTTATTTTATATTTGTTAAGTTGATAATTATATTAATAATACATAATTTATTTAGTAGTCTAATAAAAATATTAAAAATAATAATATGTTATTATTATTTTTAGTAAATCAAACAGTTATGTAAATAATTTGTAACACCTTGATGAGATAAAACCAATCAATGTCAGTGGAATATTTTTAATATATCCTAATTAGTAGCAATTAGGCTGACAATAGTTTATCAAAATGGTACCACAAATAATAAATAAACGTTTATTTTTCGTTTAACCACAATTTTGAACAGATGGTAGCCTTAATGAGAGGCATATTTTATTTTTTAACATACCATATAGGTTTGGGAAAAATCGCGGTGTAGTAAGATGCAATTATGTTGAAATATATACAGGGTGTCCCACGTAAGCGACAAAGTACATGAATGGCATTACGGAGCCATGATACGCAGTTCTTCCTTAGACAAAAGTTGTAGGAAATTTACCTCAGTATAAACGGAAAATATTTTTATACATACATGTTATTTTAAATGGAATGATATAGTTTTTATTGCGTATTCTGATTCTACACACAAAATTAAGTTGACTTTGATAAGACATGTTGATACCTACTATCCGTGCAAAAAGTCAAGGCCCCTCACTTTAGAGACCGATATCTTCGCAACCGCTCCATAAAAAAAATTGCAACAAAGTTTGTTGTAATCACTGAACATTTCTACGAAACTTATGTTAATCTGAAAATTTTCGGATCCACGGTTTTCTTTTTACAGCGAGTTAAATGAAAAATGTACCCGATTTTTTACGGAATTGGCAACTTTATCAACTTTGCGATTTTTTTTCTCGAAAACTATCGTACGAAAAAATTTGAATTTTGAACAGGTGATAGTCTGATGTGTTCTCAATGAGTGGCATATTTTATTTTTTTGATATTTCATATAGTTTCGCGGAAAATCGCGGTTTAGTAAGACGCCGTTATGTCGAAAACGGTTGGGATTTCACGAAAATATGTCAAATAATGTTGGTTGTCGGATTCCGTTATCAGTTTTTCAAAATTAAGGATCCCAATTTTTGAAGAGCGATTTAATGGAATTACAAATTAAAAAGAAACAGAAATAAGCTCTGCGGGGTGACGAGGAATCCGGCCAATCGGAACAGATGGTGCGTCCCAGACAGGACGTCGCGCCTTATTTCTTTATGTAGGCAAGATAAAGGCGCGACGTACTGTCTGGGACGCACCATCTGTTCCGATTGGACGGAACCTTCCTCTCCCCGCATAGCTGATTTCTGTTTCTCTTTAATTTGTAATTCCATTAAATCGCTCTTAACAAATTAGGGAGCCTTATTTTTGAAAAACTGATAACGAAATCCGAAAATCCGCGTTATTTGACATATTTTGGTAAAAACCGCGTTGAAATTCGCCAGGTCGTTTTCGCAATAACCGCATCCTACTAAACCGCGATTTTCCGCGAAACTATATGGAATATCAAAAAAATAAAGTATGCCCCACATTAAGAACACATCGATTTACCACCATTTCAAATTTGAAATTTTTTTCTTCAAATGGTTTTGGTGAGAAAAAATGGCAAAGTAGACAAAGTTGCTGGCACTCTCAAAAATCGGGTACTTTTTTCACTTAACTCGCGATAAAAGTAAAACCGCGGGCCCGAAAATTTCCAAATTAACATGTGATACGCAGAAATGTTCACTGATTACAATAAACTTTACAGCAATTTTTTCCATCGAGCGGTTACGAAGATATCGATCTCTAAAGTGAGGGGCCTTGACTTTTTGCACGGATAGTGCTTTTAGTTTTTGAGTTATTTTAATTAGAAGCTTTTTTTAGCAACTAATACTGTGTCCTTCAAATCTGAATTTCTTAGCGACTGATCGAGCTAGAAAGTTAAAATTTGTAACAGTTGCTGCTTGAATATCCGCGCCATTGGCTACATCGGTCTATCCTATACAGGTGTTCAAAAATGTAACTACTGTTTCACCATATTCAATTGCTTTTTCATTGATTGTTGGAACATTATATCGCCCGGGCGGTTCTGTTGGTGAATTCTTGTCTGAATTTGAAGATATTTTATCCGTGTTGGTTCCTCAGTCAAATCAATTTATTTGCTTGGGTAACTTTAATATTAACGATTTTGATACTGATGGTGTTTATGGCAATCGTTTTTTGTCTACAATTCAGCAGTTCCAGCTCCGACAGATAGTAACGCAATCAACTAGTTACTACTCAAGTTACTTCTACACTAATTGATCGTATTCTTGTTCATGATGATGTTTCTTTCTCTGATTCTGGGGTGATTCCTGTTCACACTGTCTCTGATCACTGTATGGTTTTTGTTCGAGTTAATGTTAAAACTGCGTCTAGTGATTCTCTTGAGGGATTTACTTATAGGGATTTCCGGAACTTTAATCATGAAGTATTTGTGCGTGATCTTACATATCTCGCACTATACTAACAATATGTAAAGTAGTATATGTTAAACATAAAATTTAATTCCAAAGAAGTTCTGTAATATAATTTGTAATATAAACCTAGACAATATAAATAAAAAAGTTGACCGTTTAAACAAAATCTAGATTCATCCGAAAACATGATGGGGACAAAATAATATCCATTGCGTTTCTTAGAATTTGTAGTGAGATATTAGCTATTACTTCCCTAATACGGTTTTTTTTAATTTTCAAACTGTTAAACCTGTTAACGTAGACTTTTTCTTTCACAGAGTTCCACAAGAAAAAATCAAGTGGAGTCAAGTCGGGAGACTTGGCAAGCCAATCAATGCTTCCTCTACGGCCGATCCACCTGCCTAGTAAAAGGTCGTCCAGTAATTGTTGAACTTGACGACCAAAATGTGGATTATTGTAGTTGAGAAACAGTTCTCTTGGTCTGGGTAAAACATTTTCTTGGAGAAGTGGAATGTATAGATCTGCAATGAGATTGCCCTCGATAAAAAGTGGACCACCGATATTCTGGCCAATGATGTCTGCCCAAACATTAATTTTTTGTGGACCAATCTGTATCTGCTCCATCCAATGTGGAATCCAGTATATGTAATCGATTTATCTGGCTGTTTAAACAAAATGTACATTCATTCGAATACATGATGGAGGACAAAGCATTACCGTTTTGATTTAACAATTCAACAAGATCCAACATATGAAAATATAACCCTTCTAGTCAGCAAGTACCTATACCTTCTAACCCCTTTTGATGGATTTCTTGGAGTTGTATTGTTTGATAGATGATCGACCTATAAATGCTATCATTGATTCATCTGCGGAGAATTCTCTCGTATCGAAATATAACGTCTCAAAGATTAAATTTAGTTTTAGAATAAAATATCGAAGTTTGAACAATTTATCAGTGTTGGTAGGAGTCAGATTGTGATTATCGTTACAATGCAAATTTGATAAAATATTATCAAATCTATTCCGGGACATAGTGTTTGCGATCAAGGCAATTCCTACATCATTGCTAGATGACCAATAGTGCTTCCAAGAAGGTAACTTATGATAGCCCATAATTATAAAACTCTTCTTTTGTAAGGTTAAGAATTCTGTTGCTTTGGATAGCGTATAAATTCGACTGGGAAACTATAGTTTCAGCAACGGGCCTAAGGAATGTCAAAAAAACATCTACTGCTCAATTACAGTGTGAAAAATGTTCGTGAAGTGAACCTTCTTCTAAATTATATTCAAGTAATTCAAAACTAAAATCTCTGTAAAGTATGTAGATTACATGTGTGTCCTATTTTTTGCTTCAAACTGATTTCTTCAGTAAACTATTTCAAAAAATGGCGATCGGGTACAGTGTCCAAGAGTGAGACGGCGTGCAATGTCCAACAGCAAGACGGATTCTCACTGTTGGTCCAGTATTTCGCTGTTTGATATTTCTATTCTTTAAGTCAATATTAATTTAGTTTCCAGCTCAAAATATGGATTTAAAGAAGAGAAAAATATTCAATTCTTCAAATAAATACATGAAGGAAGTTGTAATTCTGGTTTTGGATGGTGGAAGTTTGAGAAAAGTGGCGGCTTTAAAAAATATCCCGTTTCAGACGGTGGCTAGATATGTCAAAAAGGCTAAGCAGGCTGGGGATCCCAACCAAATCTTCTTACCAAATCTGACTACTAACTACAGTGTCAATAAAATATTCAGTGACGAAGAAGAAGCATCTCTTGAAAATTACATAGTGGACTGCTCACGAATGTTTTAGTAGAAAACAAGAAGAAAATTCCTGCCAAATGGCATCATACTAAAATGGCAGGTATGAAATGGTTTCGAGGTTTTCGAAGTCGACATAAGCGACTTTCACTACGAACTGCAAAGGGATGCAGCTTATCTCGTACAACGTCCTTCAATAAGCATAATGTGTCAGTTTTTACAAAAATTTGAAAGCCATCTACTCAAGATCTTCCAATTTTGCTGATGGTCGTCGAATATATAATCTGGATGGGACTGCAACGGTAATTGTTCAAAAGCTACAAAAAGTAGTCGCTGTTAAGGGTGTTAA